AGGGGCTTGGAGCAACCTGCTCTAGTGGAAGGTGTCCCTGCCCGCGGCAGGGGGTTGGAACTGGAGGAGCTTTAAGGTGCTTTCCAACACAAACCAGTTCGGGATTCTGGGATTCTACTTGCAGTGGCTGGGGGGCTGCTGGAGCACCACAGGATGGGTCAGAGCACTGTTCCCTAGTGGAAGATGGTGCAGGAGGTAGCTTCATTCTGATTTAGAAGCATAACTAAAACAGTAGCTGTGGTGAGGAGGCACCTGACGGGAGCGCTGGCCAGCGGATGGCACTAGTGCTCCCATGATGTGGAAACCAAGGTGATGCAGTGAGAGTTAAAGCAGGCACATGGAGGTGGGTTTTTGAGGTGTCTGGCCCACGAAGGCCAGAGGTGTTTGGAGGTTTTACCTGTTCCTTTGTGAATGGCGTTTGCAGCTGCAGGAAGAGCATGGCAACTCCTGGCCTTGAGGGGCTCCCGGCTCTACTCCTCATGGCCCACATGGCATGAAGACACCAAAGGGTTTGATGTTCCCACTCGGGTGGTTCCAGGTGAAACGTGGCACTTTGTCCCCTGCCCTGCAGCCCCTGGGCCAGGCCATGGGTGCACCCTGCCCTCCACCCGGCTGTCCCGGCCAGCCTGCTCTGTGAGGCAGGCGATGGCTGCTGGTGGGGCCGGGACAATGCTGGGATTCAGCAGACCGGGGGTAATGCAGCGCGAACGAGTCTGAGAGAGGCCCTGAATAGGCCAGGCTGTGCTTGAGAAGAATGAGGGGTAGGCAGAAGGCAAGCTAGTGTTTCATGGTCATCTTATGTTACACTTCAGCCTTTCAAAGAGTGTCTGGGGCTGGTTGAATGAACCTCTCTTGTGCTGCGAATGCGGGAGCCTAAAGACAAAGGGAACTCTTGTCACTCGCAGGCCCCTTTCGGGAATAAAAGCCATTGTCACATGAACAGGGGCAGTCTGGCAGGCTGTGCATGCTTCAGTGCCCCATGATATCGCTGCGTCTCAGCAGAAATCACATTCAGGGCCCTGTCAGCTTTGATTAGCGGGGTCTCATGACTTAATGTGCTGCGATATTTCATGTCTAAGGGTGGCGGCTGTCTTTCTGTGGGATGAATGCCCTCTATTGTCCACTGAGTTATTTTATTTACATTTTTTTAAACAGCTTATAAAGGTAAAAAGATAGCTGTGCTTACAGAGCAACATCGAATTCCTGTGCTTCTGGAGCAGGAGCGAGCGCTGTTGGGTCAGAGACAGTGAGACTTGTTTCACAGTCAGCATCAAAGTTCTCATCTTGTTTAACAGTTTTATAGGAAGTTCTGAACAGGTGGCAGCGGAGCCGGGTTTAGGAAGGAAACAATAAATAATCTTTTTAGCCTCTGACAACCAGGAATATTCTTGGGCCTGAGACCTCCCACTCCAACTTGTCTGTATGACGACCAGCAGCATTTTCCTCCCCTTCATCAGTTTGCTTCTTAAACAAGAATCTTGGACTGAGTTTTCAGTGGGATGGGGAGTATTTAATTTTTAATGTATTTTTTGCTTGTTGTCCATCCAGATTGCCCAGATTTCAAAAGCAGAGGTTCTTTTTACCACTAATGTTTCATCCCTTCATTTCTACAAACAATGCAGGTTGAGTCTATATGTTAAATTCAGTTAATATTTGCTCTTTCAACTAAGATAATGTGGATTAGCTATTAAAATTCAGTTGTTACGATTCATCATAAAGTAAATGTACCCAGAGAAGAACCTCTGTAGACACAGAATTCAAAGGCATTATCAGCAATGCATACAGAAGTCATTTGGTAATTCAGTAAAAAGGATGCTTGACCAAAGAGTTTCAGGAATACAAAGATTCAAGGAGTAGAAATGCATAATCCAGTCACCAACATGACCTTGGATTTTCAGTGTGGTGATGTTTTAACCACCAATTCAGGGATGTTGTTGTTTGTGGTGCTACTTCATACCCAATGCGTGAGTGCACATGGGGCATTTCTACAAGGTCCAGGTTCATTGAGCACATGAATGGACATTCAGATTTTGGATTTCTTCATTCTGACTTTTTTGAGCTGTTCTCAGGACAGAGAGAGTAGGTCTGATATTGCTTCTTTCCCCATTCACCACCGTATTTACAAAGGTTTGTTCAACTTCTAATGTATTTTTAAGTGTGTGCATTTGAATTTCCTTGTTTCTTTTATGTTAAAGATAATAATTTGTAAGGAAACTAAAGAAAACATTACAGGGGATGTTTCTTATGTAAAGATGATGAGGTAAAACTGCCTTGAGTTACCTGAGGAAGGCAAGTCATGGTAGTGTTTGTTTCAGTTCGCTTTCTCTTCACCTGGGCACACGCAGCTTCCAACCTGGACTTTTATTTCTCTCCCTCTACACCAAATTGTTTAGGTGTGAGTAACCTGTCACTGCTTCATTTTGATGGTCTCCTTGAAAGTGGACCTGGGAAATGTCATAATTCTCATTTCTGAACATCTTCCTGAAGACAGCTGTGTATATCCTCTGCTTTTTAAGCAGGAAGTAATTAAACTTCTAACCTGATGTCATACACTGTGCAGTGGTGTACTCTGAGAGTCTGAGCAAAGCTGATTAGCCACAAGGTTGAAATGAGTGATTCCAAAACACGAAACAGATGTTCCCAATGATTAATCCATGGTGTGCCTTTTACTCAGTTATTTCTACCATTATTCTGTATCTTGGCTTTGATCACTGTGATTTTCTTGGAATTGACGTTGAATCCACCTCTGCGAAGTCTCATTCTGTTGTTCGGTCTCTTCTGTGGGTTTCAGAAATTCCTTCACCATTGGTTCAGAAATACTACACTAAATCAGGCACAGGCATATTTACCTTTGTGTTGTCCCAGCTTGCTTGTAGCAGAGCTAAGTAATGCAGGAGTCATCAGAAACCATTTGTGTCTGTCCTGCATCATCACTCCAAGCAGTGCTACCAGCAAAAGGTTATTCCTCCCATGCTAACCCCACCGTGGGAAAATTGCCTAAATTGTCAGTGTAGACACCACCCAAGTGCACATGCCCTTGCAGATAAGATCTTGTGTGGCTTCCTGCACTTCGTTCTGTATATGGAAAGAATAGTCATTTTTAGATGAGACAGAGCCAGCTGCATTCAAAACAAGCAGAGAGGATCAGGTATTGGTGCAGGGTGCTCTGGGCTGGTGTGTTCACTTCAGAACACTCCCCAGTTTCCCATACTCTCAGTTTCACAATCAGATGACTAGAGGAGTGGTCGGGTGCTCATGGCTTGGCCTGAACGTGTCATGTTTGGGTAACTTCCTGCATCCTATGGTCAGTGCACCCATATGCGTTTTAGATGTGATTTAATGTATTTTGCCCAGCTTTGAATTCTTCCCCATCCTCATCCAACCCTCCTGTGCATTATTTGTAGGTGTTTATCCTTGGAAAACAAAATTACAATAAATCACAGAATCCCAGCCTGGTTTGGATTGGAAGGAACCTTAAAGCTCCTCCAGTTCCAGCCCCCTGCCACAGGCAGGGACACACTCCACCGCTCCAAGCCCCTGTGTCCAAGCTGGCCTTGAATACTGCCAGGGATGGGGCAGCCACAGCTTCTCTGGGCAGCCTGTGCCAGCGCCTCAGCACCCTCCCAGGGAAGAGCTTCTGCCCAAGAGCTCATCTAAAATTAAATGTCCAAATAAGTTTTTCATTTTAACCATAATTAAATCAAAGAATGACCCAGAGCTCCCACAGGACAAGACGACTCATGAACTTCGATGGGATTTGAATCAAGCAATGGGTCATCACCTTTTCTACTGTATAAGCAGTGGCTTTATCATGTACCTGTCCCATATATGCTTGCAGGGTGCAAGCCAAACCAGGCTGGGATTCTATGTGGTTCTATGATTCTGTGATTGCTGGCTTCCAGCACAACTTGGAGGGCACAGCACTGCAGATGGGGAAATGCAGGTTTCATGGCTGGGGAGGGGGATTCTCACCAATCAGTGCCAGCATGCTCTCTGCCTAATTCAAATGTTTGTTTTCTAATTCCAAAATGAGTCTGCGAATGAGGTGTTGCTTTTCTGGAGATCTTATCATCTATAAACAGACTGTTAAAAATAGGGTCGTTTTACACAAAACTTGTTTGTGGAGTGAAACAATTCAAAACATGATAATAACAAAACAAAGTCTTAAAATAGCTCTAAGTTGAGACCACAGGCACAGCTGCCAAGCACTTTCATCTTTATTACAGTTACTCATATCTCTTGTCTTATTATTCCTATTGTAAACACACTGATTTTATCTTAGTTGTCCTCAGCCGCCAGCCCATGTAACTGCACCCTGTGATCCAGTGTGGTTGCTCTGTCCTATGACCCAGGTCATGCATCCTTCCACGTTTATAGCTTGGTGCATGGACAAGTCTGCTGCCCACTGCTGACAGTGTTCCCATTTCTGCACACTTTCTCTGCCTGCTCCGTCACCTGCTTTAGGTGGGTGATGTTAAAATGATGTTAAAAACCAGCTTGTGTGATGTGCTTGAAGTTCTTCTGACCCACAGTAGTAGTGGTTTGAGCTTGGTCTGCCACAGCTGGGATTGAAGGTGATGCCTCTCCACCCTCTGGCTAAATGAATATTCGTTGCTCTACACCCTTTGGTTTAGGGTAGAAAATACATCCAGTGAAGGAGAAGAACCTGACCTTGCACAGCACATGTTCCTCTGATGAAGTCACCCCTATGGTTAATAGCGATGGAGATAAACCTGTGCCATTTAGATAACAGTTCTGCAATTAGATTGATCTGAATGTGCATGTGAACCTTAAAAAGCTATTAGGGAAACCATTGTGTGCTTGCATCTAAAACTAACAGGTTACTTGCTTAATACAAGGTACCAGTGAGATCCAGCGGTGAAACGAGATTTTGAGAGTTGTAAGTCTTATCTCATTTGCCAACTGAGAAAGCTGGGAGGGAAAGAGAACCAGCTGCCAAAGCGCTGGAGACCCAAACCCCTTCTTCAGGACCAAAGCAGAAGTAGCAACCTTCAACTTGTATACGAGTTGAGAATAATTACACAGCTGGAACTTTGTGGTGTTAATCTGGCATTCTGAGAGAAAAGTAAGGTGAGACTTGTGGAGCAGAGTAGTGTATTGGTCTCTATAATCAAGTGGAATCACAGACTGGTTTGGGTTGGAAGGGACCTTAAGGCTCACCCATCCCCAACCCCCTGCCATGGGCAAGGACACCTTCCACTAGAGCAGGTTGCTCCAAGCCCCTGTGTCCAACCTGGCCTTGAACACTGCCAGGGATGGGGCAGCCACAGCTTCTCTGGGCACCCTGTGCTAGCGCCTCAGCACCCTCCCAGGGAAGAGCTTCTGCCCAGGATCTAATGTAAATCTCCTCTCTTTCAGTTATAAAGTTTGGAGTAAGGGAGAGATATGGTGGAAGATTTACTGGGCTGAGGAAGGATAATGTGATAATGTGCCTTTCTCTTCAGTCTCTGGTTTGTAGCACACAGTCACTTCGTTAACATTAGCTCTTGCTTTTGTCACTTAAAAGTCATCCATCGATTCCTCTTTTGGTATAAAGCATGGACTGTCAGTGAGGCAGTGTTCAGTTTGTGTTAAAAACAACCCCAACCCCCCAAACCAACCCAAAACAAACAGGGAAAAAAAGTGTTTTCCCATTGCTAACAGGATATCTCTGTTCTTTCTGAACAGTAAGATTGAAAACTGAACTGCTGCTGCGTGTGTTGGTTGTGTGCTTTGGTACAGTCAGGCTTTGAGGCAGTGGATGAAGTGCACGCAGGAATTCCCCGGAAGGTGGTGTAAGCCCAGGCTTCCTCTGTGAGCAGTGCTCTGTGAGCTGTGGGGTTTGGTCTGTGGTGCAGAACATGGTATTCCAGCAACCAGTTAACTTGAGGAGTGGTCTCAATGCTAGGAGAGATAGCAGGGAAGGTGTCTGAAGGGTGCTCCAGCTCCCACTTAGCTTACTTTTCTGGTTAATTTGTTCTCTAAGGGTTTCATGCAAATGAATGTAGGTTTGTGTTTGCTGGGGGAGAATGCACATTTTTTACTGTATTAAGTTTGTTTACACATTCTAAAGCCAGCACAGATCTAAAATGCACCTATTTTGACAAAGAAATCCATTGTTTCTATGATCTTTCTCTCCAAGCAGAATCAGTCTTTCAGAAAAGAGAGCAGAGGTAGCTGATGAAGATAAGAGCTTTTCCTCTAAGCCCTAACACTCATCTGAATAAACTCAGGTTTGTGCCCCTAGTTGATGATGGGCTCTGTCCTGTTGCATTCCCTGCATGGGGCAGAGCTGTGTTTTCAAACACTGTTTCCAACCATTTGTGAAAATAGAGCCTTACTTTGCAGAGTGATTAGAAGGACTCTTCATGTCAAACATCCTTCATAGCTCATGCACAATTACATCAGTGCTAACACATAAATGTGCTAGAAGGCTCCTTGCTCTTATTACTCTATTGACTGGAACAATTCACTCTATTAAAGAAAACCATTGTAAGCTTATTCCGTACCTGAGGTCAATGTATTCTCACACACTGCAGAAAGGAGACACTGTTAACTGCTTACAATCTTACTTAGTTACCTGCCTCCCCAGCAGTGCACAGTTAGATCTTCATGCATTTCTGTAATCGCCAGCCTGGGACAGGAGAGACAGTGGTTGAGCCAGTTCTTCTTGTCATCGGAGTTCCTGCAGCTCACTGCAGCAGTTTCCTCATCTGCAGAAGATCCTGGTTAGAGGTTCCTTTGTGACCATGGCAGGTCTTGGCTTATCAGAGATTTGTAAATACCACAAAAGGGAAAAATAACCATTCTTCCCATCTCTCTGACTGCTGAGCCCTGGCACTTCCAAGGTGGCGGAGCCACACAGGGATTATCAAAACAAAACCTCTTGATTTCAGAGTCCTTTAAATCTTGAGTTGCATTGATAAAATGCAGCTATTTCACACCATTCAAAAGGCAGAGCAATGTGGGTAAAGGTGATTCAGAAAGGGGTGCTGGGTCAGCTGTGGTTTCAAATTAGAGTGATAGAAAATACTCCTCTCAGCTGGTTTTGTCCCAGCTTTCTCACTCACTCTTGCCAGACCTTGATCTTTAAGTTTTGCTCCAGGGTATGCTACTGCTCAGAATATGCAGGTCTGCTGGGAGTGTTCTTGTTCCTAGGTGGAATGCATGTGGCCAAGTATTTATATGATTTGTACTTGAAAATCTAACAGAAATCATTCACACATTAAACACTTGTATAATAGCATATACTCAGCTTTGGATGGAATAATGCCCATTTACCCGCTGTGGTGGTGTTCTCTTAAATACACAACTTTCTTCTTGTATTTTCTAGGCAGCCATACTGAGTATTAAGCTAAAATTGCAGCCAGATCAAGATGTGGAGAAGGTGAGTCATTTCCTCCGCAGGCTTCTCTGTCATCAGATCCACCTTTTGTTAAGCAGGAGATCCATCATGGCCCTCCAAGTTCTGCTGCCTTTCACTTGGGGCTTTACTTCATTCCCAAGAAGCAACTGCTGCATTGCTGATACACATTTTTATCTAGGGAGAAGTGACACAATGTATTTTGGTAGATCCCGTTACAGTTTACCAGACTGCTTCTTGTGCTGCAGCCACTGTTATAAAATATTCATAGAATCCCAGACTGGTTTGTGTTGGAAGGTATCTTAAAGCTCATCCAGTTGCACCCCCCTGCCACAGACAGGGACACCTTCCACTAGAGCAGGTTGCTCCAAGCCCCTGTGTCCAACCTGGCCTTGAACACTGCCAGGGATGGTTATCACTCTGATGGAAATTAGTGCTTTTGCTGTTTTGGAGCTTTGCTAATGTTTGTGTTGAAAATGTCCCATCACTTTTTTAGGCAGTGCTGGTTGATGAAGCAGGAGGATTGTGACCTGCTCACGGTGTCTGAGCAGCAGGGAACAGGACAGCTCTCAGTCAGGTTTCAGGCAGCAATGTCATGGACATCTTCTTCATGGCTTTCTGTATGCTGCAGCTCTCACTCTGTGAAACAAAGGCAGGGCACAGGGCTTTAAATATGATCTCTTCTCTTAGATGTGTACGCCGCTACTGCTTCAAGATAAAATTAACGTGGTGGAAGATTATGTGGAAGAATATCCTGAGCTCCAGAGCAAGCTCTTGCACATCCTGGACACGTGGTGTGAACCCCATTTTAATATCAAAGATATCACAAGGTAGAAACACTTGTTGACTTTCTAAACGTCTGAGGTCAAGTTGCTGTCAGAGGACAGTATGTTCTATCTAAGATCATTTCTCAGCGTAGTGGAGTGTAATATATTTACTTTTCAGCTGAGAAAGGGGAAATTCTGGTGCCTGTGCCACAGCCTGTGAGACAGAGGTATCATTCCTATTGACACATGCTCAGCTTCTGCCAGGAGAGAGGAGTGCAAAATGAAACCTGTGCAGCAGTTCTTAGCAATATAACAATATCAAAGCTTCCTCCAGGAGGTTGTAGCAATCACACTCTCGTGCTTTTGCTGCAGACAAGGGCGAGTTGCAGTATCGGTTGTACAGGTTTTGCAGGAAGATAATACTGTGATGAAGTGGCAGAAAAACAAGAGCTGCAAGTGGTTAACCTCTGTGTGCTCGTGAAAGTCATGTGTGGTTTAGTTTATAAACTGCCTCTCACTAGAATAGCTCCTGTCAGTCACAGACCCAACAGCATGGTCAAGCTCACAGTGCAGATGCAATAGTTGCAGTCTTGCTTCTGAAAAAAGACAAGAAGGAGTTGCTTGCTTTCTCTTTCTTTAAAATGAGCCTCTAGACACTTGGCTGGGAAATGTGTATGGTTGTATTGTTGGCTTTTTGCTGTAATCTGGGAAAGGTTGGGAACTGTTCTTACCAGCACATAGCAAACCTGAATACCTCTGCTGCTAAATCTCTGCTATTTGGGAAGCATAGTTCAGGAGATTCCACAGATGTTTCTTTCTGATTTATTTGTTTACAGACAGTACCAAGGCCTGTCCAGGTACAAACCAGAGAAATTTAACCGCAAAATGCTAAGCAAGCTGGTCTTCAGGCTCTTGGAGCGGTTTAATGTAGATCCAGGTATGTGATATTGCAACATATTGTGGACTTATCTCACCAGTAGAGAACAGATGAGGTCAATTTGTCTTCTTCCGTGTTCAGCAAGAAATCTCTGCTGCAATTCATCACGGGGAGTTTCAGGGTTTAATTGATGATATTGAAAAACAAAGCTGGTAAGTTATGGGAATTATCACTTTGTACTGTCGAAGAATGAAGTGCTTGTGACTAATAGACTGCTTCTGCCATGATGGGAAATAAATCTTGACCTCAGAAAGGCTCTATGTAAACATGTGATGGTCAGCTTTGAGTTATGACTCCATTCCACTCACATAAGAGGCAAGTCATCATCCATCTCGGGATCTGTTTTCTTGAGTTATGGGTCTGTCAAATGGGAAGAGATAACCCTTGGAAAGCAGGAGCCTCACAGCCCTTTGTATTCTTTGCATAAACTAGCGTTGGTGGAAGGAAGTTTTAAGGCTCTTGCAGCCTTCCGAGAGCAGTAACACATTTTACATCAGAGCCTAGATCTGCTTCACTAGTAGTGATCTAATGAAATCTACTTTGTTTTGCTTTCGTTGGTTGTTAACAGGGACTGTTGATCTTTTCTTCTTTCTCTTTGGGACCTTGCATCAGACACCTTTAGGTGCACCGTTAGGTTTTGCCCTGGAAGCTTTTCCATCATCAGCCCAAGATCTGCAGTTCTCTTTTCTTGGACTGAAAAGTGTTTTCTAACCACAAATTGTGGGCTTATTACACCTGGCAGCAGCACTATATTGCATATTAATCTTCACATCTTAAGACTGGTGTTCAAAAGTTAGTAAGATAATTCTTAAAAACCCTCATTGGAGGATAAGTAAATATAATTAAACTTAGCACATTGGTGTAAAAGCTGAGACATATGGGGGTGATTTAGTCAAAATCTAAAACCTTCCCAGGGGTTCACTAGTCTTCAGTAAGTTTTCTTCCTTTACAAGGTTGGTCATTCAGTAGGCTCTATTGTCTTCTATGATCTGTAAAGAGAATTGAGTTATTCCCCTTTCCTAGAGAAAGATCCACCAGGGGTATGATATTCACTGTAGAGTTGAAATGATGGAACTGTTCACATGCAAAATCCTGAGAAACTAGAAAAGTTCTAAGAGAGGAGCATTTAGCTGCTGATCCCACGTGCGGTCTGTGGATGTAGTGTCCTCAGCCTGGTGATGGTGTCCCAGATGGTGCTGATAATAAGAGCCAAATATTGCTGGTCCTCCACACCACGTTCACTGGGGAGGAGGTTCCTTGAGGTAGATACGGATCCCATTCCTGCCTACACTTCCAGAGAGTGACTTATCCCATGCAAACTGCAGTGTTTGCAGTGCAGGAGAGGGACTTGTTAGATAGGGCTGTCCACCTCTGCTGATGTGAGAGCGGATGTGGGCTTCTGGTTTATTCAAGATGCCAGATTTGGGACAGCTAAAACCAGTGCTCAATGACTCTCGCACCCCATATATGAAAGTAGGAGTTTATTTTTTACATAACACATGTAATTCAGAGCAGAAGTTCACATTTCACTAAACTGTGGCTGTTTTATTCTCCTTTGAAATGGTTTGGAAAGGGATGAATGCCTATGGAGGAATTTCTGCTGTAGTGCTGGTCCTGCTTGAGCTGAACTGGGAAATGGTGGCAGCTGGAATAACATGGCTTTCCTTTCTTCTCACCTCTGTTCCTTCCCTTCCTCTGGATTTCTGGGTGTTCTTTCCCCATTCTTTACTGGAAGTAAATCTGACTGTGAGGAAGGAGCCTACAGAAAGGAAGCAGGTTAGGTAAACCATACAGATTAACCCCCCATTTCTCTGGTTCTCAGTAGCTCCACCAAAAGCTAGCAGTGAGGTAAAACTCACCCTATGTTACCTAACCTGATTGTGGGCTTGTTCAGTGCTGCAGTCTTCTGCTGCTTTCTATCTCCTCTTCACTCATGACTCCTACTTGCTGATAGAGGCTGAGAGCAGCAGCACAAGAGGGAAGTGGCTTTCAGTGAGAAAGGCTGGAGGAGGACAGGGTTTCTTGGTATGAGAAGGCAAACTTCTGTGTGACTCAGTTCTTGCAGTTCCAAATCTACTTTCATATTTCACTGCCTGAGCTCACTTTTACATGCACATTAGATTTCACTGACTCCTAAGCAAAACTTAGGTGTTGATCAGCTGCTAAGATCTGAAACACTCCTATGAACTGCCAGTCTTAAGTTTTGGAGACAAATGGGAGGTTGGTCCAATGTAAAAAGGATCTGGAATCTTAGGGGCAAAAGAAAAGCATCATCTTAGATCAGTTCCACCGCTTCTTTTTCTGAACTGTGTTCCACCATTCCTGTTAACACATCTGGTAAGCGGAAGATTTTCTGCCAGTTCCCAAAGGTGTCCCAGTAAACTGTGTGTGGATTCCATTTAATTTGCTTTAGTGAGGAAGGAAGAAGTTGGGCAGAAATGGTATGTGAGGAAATTGGGTTTTACAGTCTTTTCTCACCCGTGGGTCAGCATGCTCTGCTGTAATGAGCCTGTAGCTTTTGCAGGCTAATTCCTTATTACTCTTTGGAGCCCCTATGAGCCTGACTTAGATTTACAAATTCAAGTGTCAGTCAGAACAGTTCTCAGAGGTGAGGGCACAGACCCTACCGAGGGGTTGAGGCTGTTTTCTGCTGTGCTTTGCACAGCTGGTGCAGCGCAGAATGTTCAGTGGCAGTTCCCATTGAAAATTCATTGGGTATGAGGTACAAATGACACCACTCTGAAAGTGCAGTTGTCCTCAAAAACTGGGCCTTACTGCCTGTGTGACAATAATGCAGATAATAGTGGTGTTCTACAAGAGAGACGGTAGTTGAATGCACAGTGAGCAGTTGTTCTGCAGCAGTGTAATAAGTCAGCTGAGCACCTCCAGGTTTAAATGCTGTGCAGATGTTTCTACCAGACTCTTTAAACCAAGGGGTTTTTTTAGCATAAATTAAGAGAACCACCAGGTTATCCCTTTGGTTTAATCTTTCATTTCCATCTGTTGTGAACCTTCCTCACTAAGCCCCGGTTCTGGTTGGTGACGTGTTCCCACTGCCTCAGTGCTGGGGCAGCAGAGGGCAGACGAGGGCTGCTCAGCAGCCTATCCATCTCCTCAGGTGGGGCACCACTGTCCTCAGATCCTGGAGAGCTGCGGGCACAACCCAGGGCTGTCACCAGGGAGAGCTCCAGCAGGACTGTGGGAGTCTACACTGGGCACTTTCAAACGATGTTCTGTTAGAGAGCCGGGAATGACTGTTAGAACTCCACAG